GTTTATGGAGCTGAAAAGCACTTTACGAAGCAGACTGTCACCAGGTACATTGGCCTACGGTATCGAGACGTCTTGATTTGGCTAGCTCCGACTGGACAATTATTCACATTGTATACATTTATACGTATATATTATGAGAAAAAGGATGTGCGTTTTCTGAATTGAATTTGAGATCTAGGCCAGCTGAGGAGCTGAGATGCAGACTAATCGACAGAGACTGCCGCAGAGCATCAGTCTACCGTCTAGACGTCTGAGATCGGTCTGCTACCAAATAGCACTCATTTTTTACAGGCCGCTGCACAGGAGCTCCCTCCTCCTCCTGCTCCTCCTCTTCCTCCTTCTCCTTCTCCGCTCCGCCTCCTCCTTCTCTTTCTCGTCCTCCTTCTCTTGCTCCTCCTCCTCCTCCTCCTCCTCCTCCTCCTCCTCCTCCTCCTCTTCCTTCCATTTGCTTATTCTCCTCTTTCTTTTCCTCCTCCTTGTCTTCTTGCTCGTCTTCCTGTTCCTCCTCCTCCTCCTCATCATCATCATCATCATCATCCTCCCTTTTCCCTCTTCACCATTCCCCCTCCTCCTGCTCGTCATCCGCCTCCTATTTTTCCTTCTCTTCCTTCTCCTCTTCCTGCTCCTCCTCCTCCTCCTGCTTCTCTTCCTCAGCCTCCTTCACCTTCTTCTCCTTCTCACTCATTCTTCTCCACGCCCTCCTCCATGAAACCGCACCCTCGCGCGCGCAGAACGCGAGATTGCCGCGCCCGCATGCCATTCATGTATGTCGCAAAGAAGCCTACGAGTTCCCGGCGGTAACCCAGGTTGACGGTTTACCGCCGGCTCCCAGTTGAACATTCGTTTCAAGAACCAGTATTTTTCTCACGTGTAGTGTGTTATGCCGCGTCTGCCTGTGCAATTCTCAAGCCCGTAGCTGCAACATTATTACCAAAAGACGTGGAGGAACCCACTTCTTATAAAACCGAAAAAAATATACATTCTTCCAGCATGCAAGACATCTCTCCCCCTATATTCTGAGCACTGATACCCGCGTTGAGAGCTCTACGAGGGCCCCGGCGGTAACCTGGTTGACGGTTTACCGCCGGCTCCCAGTTGGCCCACCCGGCCCGGGCGGACAATGTGGTGACTGGCGTTGGATTTTCGGACATTGTGAAAAATTTGAGCGTTCGTTCCAATAATCATTGTTCTTGTAACGTGAAGTGGGTTATGCCGCGTCTGCCTGTCGAATTCTCAAGTCCGTAGAGGCAATATTACTGCCAAGAGACGTGGAGGAACCGACTTCGCATAAAACCGAAAAATATATTTTCCAGTTCTTAAGCTGATCTGCAAGAAAGCTTCCTCTTGTACTCAAGCGCGTGTTTAGAGCTCTAAGAGGCTTCCGGCGGTAATCTTGTTGACGGTTTACCGCCGGCTCCCAGTTGGCCCACCCGGCCCGGGCGGACAATGTGGTGATTGGCGTTGGATTTTCGGAGATTGTGATAGATTTGAACTTTCGTTTTGAGAACCTGTGTTTTTTTCACGTGTAGTGGGGTATGCCGCGTTTGCCTGTCAAATCTTCAGGTCTGTAGCTGCAATATTATTGTGAAAAGACGTGGAGGAACCGTCGGCCGTCGGGATGCATTTTTCGAGGTGCAAATTCTTCCGTGAATTTCATTCAAGCAGAAAGCAAGCAACACAGCTTTGAATTGCACCGATGAGTGTAGCATAGTGAGAAGCATGAGTCTGCATTGGCGGGGCTTGTGGTTGGAGATATACGAGAATATATTGCACGAGTATTGGTAGAGTTGTGTGCGTGATAGTTTTTTCTTTATTAAACCTTGATCAGGTTTAAACACCAGTATTTTTTCCATCTGTTGTGGGTTCTGATGCGTGTGCTAGTAAGTTTTCTAAGATCGTGGTACCTGCAGTATTATTGCCAAAAGACTATGTGGAACTGACTTCGTATCAACCCCAAATAATAAATTCTGCGAGTTCTCCAGCTGATATTGAAGGAAGCTCTGTCCTCGTAATCTGAGTACAAATTCTTTACGCTTCGCGTATCCCCACCAGCCCATCTCAAAACAGCAACTCTTGCGAAGCATGCCGACAGTCGTGTTTTTCAGGCGTGTTTCCGCCTGCCCCCGCATATCTTCCCTGTTCCTCTTTCCTCCCGCCTTCTTGTACATCCTCCTTGTGGTGGGAGCGGGAGAAGGACGAGGCGGAGGAGGAGGGAGAGAAAGCGCTCCTCGTGGTTTGAGTCGTTTGGGGTTCTCGTCCTGGTGTGAGTCGTTCGGGCCCTTCTTCCTGGTGTGAGTCGTTCGGGCTCTTCGTGGTGTGAGTCGTTCGGGCCTTCGTCCTGGTGTGAGTCGTTCGGGCTCCTCGTGGTGTGAGTCGTTCGGGGCCCGCGTCGTGGTGTGAGTCGTTCGGGCTCCTCGTTGTGTGAGTCGTTCGGGCGCCACGTCCTGGTGTGAGTCGTTCGGGCCCCTCCTTGTGGTGTGAGTCGTTCGGGCTCTTGTGGTGTGAGTCGTTCGGGCCTCTTGGAGGCCTTTTGGGGCGTCTTGGGGGCCTCTTGGCGGCCCCAGGGGCTTCTAGGAGCGTCTTGGGTGCCTTGGGGGAGCCTCTTCGGGCCTCTTGGGAGCCTCTTGGAGGCCGTTTGGGGCGTCTTGGGGGCCTCTTGGCGGCCCCAGGGGCTTCCAGGAGCGTCTTGGGTGCCTCGGGGGAGCCTCTTGGGGCCTCTTGGGGGCATCTTGGGGGCCTCTTGGAGGCCTCTTGGAGGCCTCTTGGGGCCTTGGGGCCTCTTGGGGCTCTTTGGGAGGGGTCTGGGAGGTATCTTGGGGCCATCTTTCGGCCGATCGATCACAGCTGGGGCGAGCATTTTTCTGCCTCCCCCCGTCGGGGCCAGAATCCTCGTGAGGGGTGTCGAATTTTAGCCCTCCCAGGAGTCGAAAAAGACCCCCCCAACCACCCGCGGGGCGCCCTCTCCAGGCCCAGGGGGAGGGGGTAGGGGGAGGGGTAAACCCCTCCCCGAAGGGGAAGAAGGGGGGTTGAGAACAGAGAGAGCTCTCTAAACCACTCACGCCCAAAGGGCCGGTGGGACTACATGGAATGGCAACGAAGGACAGTTATTTGTAGGCTATGACGAGAGTCCGCTGTACATCCCAGGCGCTCACGAACGCGGCAGCAGTTGCGCAGTTGGCAGCGCCCAGGGAGAGGAGATCTATTCTGGGTCCGTTTGGCACTGCACTCCAGTGGACCTCCCAGAGGCTGACGAGAGTGCCCAGTTGAGCAGTTGGCAGCGCCCGGGATTGGAAGTACCGTTTCCATCCGAGCAGGGCCGCTCTCTGTTGGACTGCCACCCCTCCTGCAAGGTCATGACATGATTGTGCAGTTGGCAACAGCACGGGGGCGAGGTCCCGTTTCGATCTGGGTAGGACCGCACTCCGCTGGACTCCTCGCGGTTGCGCAGTTCGCGGCACCCAGGCAGGCGAGGTCCCGTTTCGATCCGGGCAGCGCCGCAGTTCCCTGGACCCCACAGTAGCCACAAAAGTGGCGACAGTTGCGCAATTGGCAACACCCGGGAGGCGAAGGCCCGCCTCGATCAGGGCAGTACCGCACCCTGTTGCCCCCCCCCCCAAGGACCTCACGAAGGCGGCCCGCAGTCGGGAGCACCCAGGGAGACGAGGGCCGGGTTTGATCCGGGTAGGAACGCACTCCGCTGGACCTCCAAGGAGATCGCGGAAGTGGCGGCAGTTGTGCAGTCTGCAGTACTTGTCAGCACCAGGGGGGCGAGGAGACGCGACGACCAGGGGAGGAAGCGGAGGCAAGAGGATGAGGCAGGAGAAGGGATGAGAGGAGACGGGAGAATGCGGGAGGAGTGAGGGAGGAAAGACAGGAGCAGCACTATTCAGAATAGTGCTGCTCCTGATTCTTGATTTGAACAGACTGTTCAAATCAAGAACCCAATACAGGAGGGCTTGGGGGAACTAGGTGAGCAATGACAGGGAGAAGGAGTGGCAGAAAATAGCCAGAGTCGAAAAGAGACACCGAGATGGAGAGGGAGGTGAGAAAGACATGTGATTGGGCCAATGGAGCGGAGAGGAGGATCGAAGCATCGGGATCAGCAGCCGATACCGCCGATGGCGAATCGAGCCTGGTTGGGGAGGCAGCGGGACAGCGGGGGGGGGATGCGAAGGGGGTAGGGCGAGGGGGCGGGCACAGCGCAGCCCACGGTAGGGGAACGTCCTACTACCGTCAGTCCTCTTCCTCTTCATTGTGGTTTTTCTCCGCCTCCTCCTGCATTCTATTGGATAAAGGAGGGCCAGTTCCGCCGCGGGGGAAGACGAGGCCGATCTCGTTTTCCGCTGCAGCTGCCGAAGGACAGCTGGTGTAAGCAACGATTCACGAGGTCGTCCACCTGTCCCCGTGTCTCCCCGCTCCCCTTTAAATGCCATTCGCCCATCCCGAGCTCTTTCGAAGGGAGGCCGTGGAAACAGCTTGGGCCGCGTGGCATCCGGATTGGGCCCGAGTGCGGGTCGTGTGCCTCAGCAGAGCGTATTGCGACGAATTTGATGATCAGGGTGCTTGGCTGGACACACTGAGCATGCAGATGTGTCTCATTGTCGGTTAGACTCTGCTCGCAGAGGTTGATCTCCTGTGAGCGATCTGCAAGTTTGAGGCACTTCCATTAATTCTGGCATGCAGCAGGTTAAGAGAGGCTCGGTAAGTACGTCATGATAAAGATGCGCTAGTACTAGGTGTACTCAAATGGACCCCGCGTGCGAGTAGAAATCGTACATTCCGCCACTTTCCCCTTCCACTCTTCCTTCTCGTCCTCACGTCCTCCCCCTGCCTCTGCGTCTTGCTTCCCTTCCTCGTTCCCCTCCCCCTCCCGCCGATCATATCCAACCCTTGCAGCCTCCCTTCCTCGCCGTCTTCCTCTTGGCCTCCACTTCCTTCCCCTCCACCCGAGGATGCCAGGCACGCTCTCTCTCTCTCTCTGCCTCCCCTCTTCGCTGCAGGAGAACGGCTCCATGGAGAACGTCGTGCTGTTCATGAACCTGGCGAACGACCCCACCATCGAGCGCATCGTGACGCCTCGGTCGGAGGGGGGGGGGCGACAGGGCGCCCGAGGCCCCAGGCCTGCTCATGTCCCTGCGCTCCTCCTCCTCCTGCCTCCACCTGCTCCTCCCCCTCCTCCTCCTCCTCCCTCAACCTCCTCCTCCTCCTCCTCCTCCTCCCGCCTCCACCTGCTCCTCCTCCTCTCCTCCTCCCTCCTCCTCCTCCTCCTCCTCCTCCTCCTCCTCCTCCTCCTCCTCCTCCTCCTCCCCCTCCCTCCTCCTCCTCCTCCTCCTCCTCCTCCTCCTCCTCCTCCCTCCTCCTCCTCCTCCTCCTCCTCCTCCTCCTCCTCCTCCTCCCTTTCTCCTCCCCCGCCCGCGCGCGAGCGCGGCGGCGCGCCTGCCCACGGGACGCCTGCGGCGAGCGGTGCGGCGGCGAGCGGGGGGGGCAGGCGAGAAGGCGAAGGCCTTCTCGGAAGGCGGCGGGACCTGTCAGAGGCCCTCGCGGGGGAAAACAGGGGGCCCCGTTCCTTCTTCCAGGGCTCCTGAGGTCCACGCCCCGACGGTAGTGCTCGTACGTTTTGGGGGGGGTGGGTTGTGCTGGTGCTTGCCGGCGCCCTGCCGGGTGCTCGCCGTCGCCGGAGGTGCTCGCAGGCGCCTTGCGGGTGCTCTGCGGGCGCCCCCTGCGGGTGCTGCTCGGAGGCTCTGCGCAGTCGCCCCGCGGAAGGCCGCGCGGGCGAGGGCGGGCCGGACGCAGAGCAGGAGCGCCGCGGCGGAGCGGAGGCACGGCGAGCGGGAGGAGCACGAGGAGAGGCCTCCGAAGGGACGCAGGCGGAGAGCGGGAGCAGAGAATTGGTTTGACCGTTGTGAGGGCAGGCCTGCAGTGCATGGCCAGCGTGCTCTCAAGCAAGTGCAGCAAGGCAAAGTTCCAGCAGCAGAGTCCAAAGAGACACAGGGAGTCCTGGCCAGTTGCTGATTTTAACAAGAGCCAGAGGCAGGAAACAAAAAGCCTGCGGGAGCACGGAGAAGCAGTGCAGCGGCCAACGATGACACGCTGGCAACGGACCAGAATTGCAAGGCCGCCGAGAAGAAGGAGCCTGAGATGGCAGTCGGCGGTTATGGCTTCTGAGCGGCTAGGCTATGCCAGTGCCAGCGCCGCTCGGGGACAAAATTAAGGGTTTCCGTGTCTTCGGGGAGGCCTCAGGAAGTTTCTCAGAAGGCCGGGGGACTTCCGAGCCTTCTGAGACAGCCCTCTCTTCTCGCTTCCCCCCGGGCTCGTCGCCGACTCCGACTCGCCTAGTCCTCAGGGGGGCTGTGCAGTTATCGCGTGTGGCGGGGCCGTGTCGCTTCAGAGGCTTCGGTGCCGTAGGCGGGGTGGCTGCGTTCTATTTTGGGCACACCCTCCGGGTGAGCTTGTGGTCTAACGGAAAGTTCCAGAACATTGTTTCTGCCCCTCCTGCCTGTCGGGGACACTGCACCACCGCTGCGTCCTCTCTCTCCCCTCGTGTGCTCGGCGCAGCGGCCCCACCGCTCGATCTTCTAGAAGACCGCGCCCGGCGCGCATGCGAGCTTTCGCCTGCCTCCCCTGACTCCGGTTCCGCCCTGGGGCGGAAATTTCCGCGCCACGTTGTTTCGGCTCCGTTGATGGCCGAGTTCCGTCCTGCTTTGCCGTCGTTGTTTTCGTCATGCCTTTTCGGGAATATCCGCCCTGCCGTTTTAGGACGCGAATTTCCGTTTGCTTGTTCCCAGAAAGTGCGTGGGCAAGCGCAGTATAGGGTGTGGCAGTTCCCCGACCCCCTTTGGGACCTCCTCGTTGGGCATGGTTTCGTACGGCTAGTTGTCGGGTTTCGTTCGTGTTTGTGTTGTGTTTGTTAATTGCTTTTGTTCGCGTTTTCCTGCCCCCCTCAGGCGAAGCCCCCGAAAAAGCTTCGCTCGTTTTTTGTTCTGCGCTTTTCTGGGGGTCCTCTGGCCACCTCCCAGGACCCTCCCCGGAAAACAAATCGTGCGCCTGGAAAGCCACATGGTTGGCCTCGACTTGCGTGGGGCCAGCGAATTCATTCTGAGATGAATAACTAGGTCGCGTAGGGCCAGCGGGTTTAGAAATAAGGATGTCCCGAGCGAAGCGCTGGTTTTTGACATTCCGATCGATAAAGCACATGTTGAAGTACACATGTTCGTTCGTTGCGGATGTCTCGAGCGAAACGTCTGCCGTTCAGAATTTGCTGAAGATATCTTGATTGAAACGCTTGTTTTGTGTGCGATATATGTATATATATATATATATATACATATATATACATATATATACATATATATAGCCCCCCCCAGCACCCATTGATTTTCATCGCGGTTCGCGCTGATCGCACTCGCATTTTCTTGCCAGATTCGGTTCTCGCTCTGAGACGGCGGCATCGAATAATGAACGTCATCTGGAGAGCCAACCACTTGATCCTGCATCTCCTTCCCCTCTTTCACCTCGTCCATCCTCCTCCTCCTCCTCCTCCTCCTCCTCCTCAACCTCAGAAGATGCAAGCGTCCGCTTCCCCCGCCTTTGGGAGAACAGGTATAAGATATCAGCGGCAGCGCTATCAAGAACGATAAGCGATCCATATGATTTCTCAGGCATTCCAGGGATGCACAGGGATGCTAAGTGACGATCGCTGTGCAGGCTCAGGGATCCCAGGGATTCCAGGGATGCGAAGTCACGATCCCTGAGCAGGCTCAGGGACCCCAGGGCTTCCAGGGATGCGAAGTCACGATCCCTGTGCAGGCTCAGGGATCCCAGGGATCCCAGGGATTCCTGACCCTCCAGCAAAACCGACCTGGGGATCCACCAGCGATCCCGCGCTCAGAATCCCTGGGATCCCTGAGCCTGCTCAGGGATCGCGACGTCGGTGGTCAGCAAACCATATGATTTCTCAGGGATCCCAGGGATTCCAAGGATGGCAAGTCACGATCCCTGAGCAGGCTCAGGGATCCCCAGGGATTCCAGGGATGCGAAGTCACGATCCCTGTGCAGGCTCAGGGATCCCAGGGATCCCAGGGATTCCTAACCCTCCAGCAAAACCGACCTGGGGATCCACCAGCGATCCCGCGCTCAGAATCCCTGGGATCCCTGAGCCTGCTCAGGGATCGCGACGTCGGTGGTCAGCAAACCATATGATGTCTCAGGGATCCCAGGGATTCCAGGGATGCCAAGTCACGATCCCTGAGCAGGCTCAGGGATCCCAGGGATTCCAGGGATGCGACGTCACCATCCCTGTGCAGGCTCAGGGATCCCAGGGATCCCAGGGATTCCTGACCCTCCAGCAAAATCGGCCTGGCGACTTCGCAAAGATTTGGGGGGTTGGGAATCCCTGGGATCCCTGGGATCCCTGAGCCTGCACAGGGATCGTGACTTCGCATCCCTGGAATCCCTGGGATCCCTGAGCCTGCTCAGGGATCGTGACTTCGCATCCCTGGAATCCTGGGATCCCTGAGAAATCATATGGTTTGCTGACAACCGACGTCGCGATCCCTGTGCGGGCTCAGGGATCCCAGGGATTCTGAGCGCGGGATCGCTGGTGGATCCCCAGGTCGGTTTTGCTGGAGGGTTAGGAATCCCTGGGATCCCTGGGATCCCTGAGCCTGCACAGGGATCGTGACTTCGCATCCCTGGAATCCCTGGGATCCCTGAGCCTGCTCAGGGATCGTGACTTGGCATCCCTGGAATCCCTGGGATCCCTGAGACATCATATGGTTTGCTGACCACCGACGTCGCGATCCCTGAGCAGGCTCAGGGATCCCAGGGATTCTGAGCGCGGGATCGCTGGTGGATCCCCAGGTCGGTTTTGCTGGAGGATTAGGAATCCCTGGGATCCCTGGGATCCCTGAGCCTGCACAGGGATCGTGACTTCGCATCCCTGGAATCCCTGGGGTCCCTGAGCCTGCTCAGGGATCGTGACTTGCCATCCTTGGAATCCCTGGGATCCCTGAGACATCATATGGTTTGCTGACCACCGACGTCGCGATCCCTGAGCAGGCTCAGGGATCCCAGGGATTCTGAGCGCGGGATCGCTGGTGGATCCCAGGTCGGTTTTGCTGGAGGGTTAGGAATCCCTGGGATCCCTGGGATCCCTGAGCCTGCACAGGGATCGTGACTTCGCATCCCTGGAACCCCTAGGGTCCCTGAGCCTGCTCAGGGATCGTGACTTCGCATCCCTGGAATCCCTGGGATCCCTGAGCCTGCACAGCGATCGTCACTTAGCATCCATGTGCATCCCTGGAATGCCTGAGAAATCATATGGTTCGCTTATCGTTCTTGTTAGCGCTGCCGCTGATATCTTATACCTGTTCTCCCAAAAGGCGGGGGAAGCGGACGCTTGCATCTTCTGAGGTTGCGTTAGAAAAAGCATTCCGCTTGCAACACGTGACTCGGGAAGAGGAACGGAAAGGAGCAGGGATGATGAGAAGAGGATGCGTCTCCAGCTTCGCGGAAGAGGGAGAAGGCGTAGAGTGGGTGCTGGGGGGGGCTGTCCATACATATATATATATATATATATATATATATATTGTTTGCTTCTCCCCTGGGGACCAGAATTCAGAGGATCTCTCAGGTAAAACGCTTGTTTTCACGTGCCCAGGTGTTGATGATGAGACGCTCCGTTTCACGCGTCGAGGCTGCCCAGGGAGATGTCTAGCATGAGGATGTGTTGAGAACTTTTCGAGCGAAGCGCTTGCTTTCACTTGCCCAGGTCGCCCAGGCGCTCGGCACGTCCCCGCGCACGGCGTTCCCTGGCGCGCCGCCCTGGCGCGCGCCCTGGCGGGTCCCGTGGCAGGTCCCTGACATGTCCATGGCACGTCCCCTGAAATGTCCCCTGGCGTGTCCATTGGCGCATTCCCTGGTGCGCCCCTGGCACATCCCTTGGCGCGCCCCTGCGGCCTGCGCCCCCTGTCGTCTCGCCCCGTGTCGGAACCGAGCCGGGTTGTGAGTTCGAGCTGGTTAGGTGTCCCGTACGTTTCGACTACAATTGCCCTGGGCGGGCCATGCGTTCAGGCAGTTCGAGCTAAACATCCAGAGCAGTTCGGTCAACGATACGGACGCCAAAACGATTGGATCCACAGCGCAGTACAGTTTAGCACGGTATGGAACAGCACAGTTCAGCACAGCATGGCATTGCGCAGCGCAGCGCAGCACAGCCCCCTCAGCACGGAGTCATCACAATGGATATCATCAGCTCTGTCCCTGCCCAGTGCCCAGGTTAGGACAGTACTATATTCATATCCAGGGTCGTGGTTCGAATGTTATGTTTGCAGTGTGCTGCCGTCTTTGGTGAGAGGATTAGGTTGTTCCATAGCGATGCGGGCTCGATGAGCCGACTGTCGTTGCTACGGGAATGAAGGCGCCCAGGTTCTTCACAGAGATGCTGGCTCAATGAGTTGGCAATCGTGGCTCCGAGCACAACGGCACGGACTGTGCCATCGCTGACGAGAGTAGGTTGCTGCACAACAATGGGGGAGTAATCAAATATTAGCGGTGGCACTGGCCTGGCGGTTGCGCAGTTGTCGCCACTCATCTTCATCCTCCTCTTCGTCATCCTCCTACCCCCTCCTTCCCATCATTTTGATTATGCCCTCGCTCTTCCACTTTCCCCTCATCCTCCTCCTCCATCTCCCCCCTCCCTCCTCATCATTGCAAGTATGCCCTCACCCTTCCCTCTACTCCTCATCCGCCTCTTGTTCCTCCTCCTCCTCCTCCTCCCCATCCTCTTTCTTTCCTCCCCCCAGTCCCCTTTGAGCCTGTGGTTTCACTACCTCCATCCCGCTCTCGCGTGCCTATCTGTGTCTTCTGAGTCCCACAGCGCGTGAGCCACTCATGTAATATTCACGATCACTGCCAGTCCTTGTCGTGCCATCATCGTTTGGCCATTTGCTATTTTTAGATGTCGTGGAAGGGTGAGGCACGCTGCGCGGTGAGTGTGCCAAGCGGGCGGATCGGGCCAGCAGCACCAGCCGCCGCCTCTGGGCGAAGTCCCAGCGCGAGGATGCAGAGGAAGAGGAGCATAAGGAGTGTGAGAGTGGAAATGATGGCGGTCGGGAGGAGGGCACTGCACAGCGGGGCTCAGCGATCCCCCAGGGCGCTGGGAGGATGCCACGGGCGCCCGGGGCTGCGAAGGCTGGCCCTGACCACGGCCGAGTACTTCGCGTACACGCGCCTCCGCCCGCCAGCTTGCCCGCTTCCTCTCGCTCCTGGGGGGCTCTGGGGGGCGCGAAAGCGAGCAGCATATTTGAGCGGGGGATCCGAGGGAGCGAGAGTGAGCGAGTGAGTGAGAGACTGGGAAAGAGAGAGAGGGAGGGAGGTAGAGCGAGAGAGGGATAGAGAGAGAGGGAGAGAGAGAGAGAGAGAGATCGAGAGCCAGAGAGAGGGATCGAGCGTTCGCTTTGTATAGAGAGAGGGAGGAAGGGAGGGAGGGGGAGATTGAGGCGGTCAGAACTGGAGAACGAGAGAGAGAGAGCAGCCTTCTTCGATCCGTCTCGGCATGAGCTCTGGTGCAATTCTTGGCTTGCTCCGTCCGCAACCTGATGACGCGCGATTTCCTCTTCGCCGAGTCATCGGGAGGCGTGTCCTGGGAGGAGCCAGAGAGAGAGAGAGAGGGAGCGAGGGAGACAGGGGTAAAGAGAGAACCCAACATCCGCACGTGGCGTTGCGAGACGCGCTGAGGGTGAGGGCGAGGCAGCGAGAGGACGCCCCCCCGCGGGGGCGGGGGCGAGGCGGGCCACGCCGCCTGCGCCGCGCCCTCCCCGCCCGAGGCGCGAGCAGCACGTGTTCGTCATCCTCACCGACATGTCCTCCTACGCCGACGCCCTCCGCGAGGTGTCCGCCGCGCGCGAGGAGGTCCAGGAGGGGAAAAACACACACAGACACAATTAATCGGCGATTTCCCCGAAAATATGGGAACATATGGGAAGTGGGGGGGAAGACTAAAACCCAGAAAATAGGCGAAGATATGGGGGATCCTGTTATTTGTGTCTGTTTCTTTGTGTGTCCCAGGGCCCCTTCAGAGGTGCCCGGACGTCGTGGCTACCCCGGGTACATGTACACCGACTTGTCCACCATCTACGAGCGCGCTGGCCGTGTGGAGGGCAAGACTGGTTCCATTACGCAGTTCCCCATCTTGACCATGCCCAACGACGACATCACGCACCCCATCCCGGACCTGACCGGGTACATTACAGAGGGGCAGATCTTCGTGGACCGTTCCCTGCACAACAGGCAGATCTACCCGCCGATCAACGTGCTGCCGTCCCTCAGCCGGTTGATGAAGTCGGGCATTGGCCAGGGGATGACTCGCAAGGACAGCTTGTGTCGGCAGAGGAGAAGGGAGAGGATCAGGAGGATGAACACTGGCGATGAGTACGATGAGTTGAATGAGAAGACAGGGAGCGAATAAGGAGAGATATGAGAAGGATGATGCGAAGAAGGGAGGAGTGCCGAGGAAGTGGGCAGCTCGAGGAGGGATGATGAGGAGCAGGAGGAGGAGAAGGAGGAGAGTGATGAGAGATGGGGGGACATGGAGGACGCAATGGAGGAGGAGGAGGAGGAGGAGGAGGAGGAGGAGGAGGAGGAGGACGGGCGGCGAGGAGGAGGGCGGGGTAAGGAGGATGAGGAGGAAGATGAGGGTTGAGAAAGTATGCGCAGATGCAGCAGCAGGAGCAATAAGCGGGGGAATCGGAGCAGCAGGAGCAGAAGAAGGCGGGGAGGACCACGGCAACGTGTCCGATCAGCTGTACGCAAACTACGCAGAGGGCCAGGACACAAAAGCCATGAAGGCCACCGGCCTGCTGCCAGCGGCCCTCCGGCTTGCGCGGACCGGGGGACGTCTCGTGCTCACGTTTGTTGGTTCTCTCGTTCCTTCTGCTCCAGCTCATCCTCCTCATCCTCGTTTGGCACCTCCCGCATCTCGCTCTGGGCTGGCGCGAATGCGATGCGGGCGTATTCTTCAGTCATGCCTTTGCCGCTGTCTCCCTCCCTTCGCGTCTGTCTCATGCTGCAGCGCACGATAGCACGAACACCGCATGCTGTAACATAGTGGTTCGCTGGTCTTCGCAACATGCCACAGGCCAGCACGCTCTAGCGCGCACTCGGGTTTCGGCTCGTCGCTCGAAGGTCGTCCGCTTACTTTTCCCGTGAGAGCTGGCGAATGTCATATTGCCCAATGCTTTGACAAGTGGGCTCGATCACAGGGGGGTGTCGTCCTCCCTCCTCCGTTCCGTCCTCCGCCCTCCCTCATCTCAGCCTCGTCCCTCCTCTCATCTTTGTCCTCCCCCCTCCAGTCTTCCTCCGCCTCCTCTTCCCCTCCCTCCCTCCTCCCTTCCCCGTTCTGCGCCGGCTAGAGTTCCTCGTGCGGCCGAGCCAGCGCGACGAAGCTCACGCTCCGCCCCGCCCTCAGCCCCCGAGGGCCCATGGCCCCAGGGGAAGAGGGGGAGGAGGAGGGGGAGGAGGAGGAGGAGGAGGAGGAGGAGGAGGAGGAGGAGGAGCAGGAGGAGGCCACGCGGCCCGAGCCGGCCGCCGCCCCAGGAGACTGGCCGACGTTGCCGCCCCTCGCTCTCGGGCGCGTGGCCTCCGCCGCACCCGGGCGGCGGCCGCGCTCCTCGCAGGTCGTCTAACACCGCTGCCGGCCCTTTCGGCGGCTGCGGGCCGCGGGCCCCCGTGCAGCCAGCCGGCCGGTTGCCGTGGCCGTGCCTCCTCCTCGCAGGAGGGAAAGAAACACACAGACACAATTCATCGGCGATTCCCAGAAAATATGGGAAAATATGGGAAGTGGGGGGGAGGACAAAGACCCAGAAAATATGGGAAAATATGGGGGATATCTTTATTTGTGTGTATTTATTTGTGTGTCCCAGTTCCCCTTCATCCTCGCGCGCTGCCTCGGGATCTTCCCGTCGCTCGCCCAGGCTGTGCTCGGAGGTCGACAGACCTCCTGCCCTGACACGTCGTTCAGCGGACTGGCCGTTTTCGGTTCGCGAGAGGGCGTCGCGGCCGTCACGTTTGCGGGTCCAGGTCCGTCGGTTTCGGTCCTAGGCCGTTTTCACTGAAGGGTTTACTAAAGGGCGGGTTGTCCACCGCCGATGTGTGGTGCCAGCGTCTTCTGCCGTTCCTGTTCCTGCTGGACGGCGTGACGTGCAGCTTCGCGGGCCGTCGCCAAACTGCGCACCTCCTCTTTTGCGAGCTCGCGCGATACCCCAGCCGCCGAGCCATGCCGTTCCAGATGCCTCTGGCGTCCTGGGTGCTGCTCCTCCTGGAGTCTCTGGGGTTCCTCCTGCTGCTCCTGGAGATGCGGGACGAGGTGGAGGTAGCGGACGCCGAGGACCACATCTGGACTGGCGTCCGCGTTGCCGCCGACAGCCCCCTTCAGGAGGCAGCTGTCGGCCGCAGCCGCGCATGGGCCGCCCTCGCCGCCGACAGCCTGTCGGTGCGCCTGGGCCGCCCCTTCGGCGCTGCCATCCTGTCGCAGTCTGAGAGGCCCGCCTGCGAGGCAGGCGGCAAGAGACACGGCGATTCCCTGGCGGGGTCTTCCTGAGGTCGGGTGTCCCCAAATGGGGTGGTGACCACACCGTGTGGGATTCGGGGTCACCGCACGGTTTTGGGACTCGAGTCCCTCTCCGAGGATGTCTCGGGCGACAGGAGCATCCGAGGTCCTAAAACCGTGCGTTGATGGACCGTGCGGTGAGGTCTTGGGGGATTTCGAGGTCACCGCACGGTCTGTCGCCGCACCGTTTCGGGACTCCAAATGAGGACAAGTGGAGGTGTGTTAATCGTGTTCTCGTTTGCGTCCTTCTGGAGGTGCTTCCCCCACAGGCGATCATGGATTTGCTGTTCTCTTTCGCCGTGCAGCGGTGGACGGGCCCCAGGGCTGCACGAGCACGCCATTGCTCAGCGGAGCTGGAGCTCATGATATTGCCTGCTCCAGAGATGCCGAGGTGGTCGAGGACGGGCATTCGCTGGCAACAAGCTGGTGTCGTGGGCGTGTGGGTCCGACGTAACGAGGATGCCGAGGATGTGTTCAACGCCCGCATCCACTTGCAGTGGCGCGCTAACGTGTATTCAGGCCCCCATCATTTTTCCCAGAAGGGGCTTGGGCCCAGGGTTCTCCTTTAGTTGCTTAACCCCTTGGCCTCGTCTTGCGTAGGGCTGGCGAATTCATCTTGCGATAAATAACGAGATCGCCTAGGGCCAGCGAATTAAGACTTTGAGGATGTCTGCGAAACGCCTGTTTTCTACAAGTTTGTCGAGGATGTCTCAGGCGAAACGCTGGTTTTGCAGAGTTGGGGGATGTCTCGAGCGGGGGCCAGAATTCAGGGGATGTCCCAGGCGAAATGCTTATTCTCTCATGCCCAGGTCGCCCAGAGGGGGTATCTAACATGGCTGGTTGTCTTTGTTCAGAGGGAGCCACGTGGTTTCACGTGTCCATGCCACCCAGGGAGGTATCTTAGGTGATTGCCATCTGCCCTTCGCTGGAACCACGTGGTTTCACGTGCCCAGGCCACCCAGAGGGGTATCTAAAATTGAGGCCCTTCGGTGGAAACATGTGTTTTTACGTTTCCAGGCCACCCAGGGGTGTATCTACCATGGTGTGTTTTCACGTTTGTTCGTCTCTGGGGGCGAAAGGGGCCCACATGTTTTCACGCTTGTTCCACTCAGGGGCGAAAAGGACCCACGTGTTTTCATACTTGTTCAGCTCTGGCGCGAACGGGACCCTAATATTTCCACGCTAAACATTATTCCGCTCCGGCGCGAAAGGGACCCACGCGCTTTCGCGCTTCTTCCGCTCTGGGGCAAATCTGAGGCGAAAGGGATTTACGTGCTTTCACGCTTGTTCCGCTCTGCCGCGAAGAGGGTCCACGTGTTTTCACGCCTGTTCCTTCACGGGCGAAAAGGACCCACATGTTTTCACGCTTGTTCCGCTCTGGCGCAGAAGGGACCTCGTGTTTTCACGCTTGTCCCGCTCTGGCGCGAAAGGGACCCAAGCAATTGCCACGCTTGTTCCGCTCTGGCGCGGAAGGGACACGTGTTTCCACGTTTGTTCATCTCTGCGAGAAGGCGGTCCACGTGTTTTCACACTTGTTCCGTCACGGGCGAAAAGGACCCTCGTGTTTTCACGCTTGTTCCGCTCTGGCATGATGTTATCACGCTTGTTCCGCTCTGGCGCGGAAGGGACCCCCGTGTTTTCACGCTTGTCCCGCTCTGGCGCGAAATGGACCCACGTGTTTTCACACTTGTTCCGCTCTGGCGTGAACGGGACCCACGTGGCCTGGGGCGAAAAGGACCCATTTGTTGTCACGTGTCTGGGCCACCCAGGGGGGGGATATCTAACATGTGCTCGTAAGCCAATAAGAATAGCGACTCGACACCATGTGTGAAATAACTCGAGACGTGCCGTCCTGGGGAGGCCTTCCGCGGCCGATTGGGGACGCTTCCTGCGGCGAAAGGGCTGAACGTGTCGTCGCATATGTTCCGCTCTGAGGCAGACGGGGACCCACGTGTTGTCACGCTTGTCCCGTTCTGGCGCGAAAGGGACCCACGTGTTTTCCGGGCTGTTCCGCTCTGAGGCGAAGCAGACCCGCGGGTTTTCATGTTTTTTCCGCTCTGGCGCAAAAGGGACCCATTTGTTTTCAGGCTTGTTCGTCTCTGGCGCGAAAGGGACCCACATGTTTTCGCGCTTGTTCCGCTCTGGCGTGAACGGAACCCACGTGTTTTCCCGGTTGTTCCGCCTTGGAACGCAAGGGACCCATTCGCTTTCACGCTTGCTCTGCTCTGGGTCGAGAGGGACCCACGTGTTTTCACGCTTGTTCCAGGTCGCCCAGGCGGACCTCTAACATGAGGATGTGTGTTGGGGATGTGTGGAGCGAAACTTTTGTTTTCACGTGTCCAGGTCGCCCAAGGGAATCACTGGCATGAGAATGCGTTGGGGATGTTTAGAGCGAGACTTTCGTTCTGTAGGATTTGTTGAGGATGTCTCGAGCGAGGGCTTCGCCTGCAGCGAACGCCTCCCTCTGCAGGTTGTGTTGAGGATGCCTCCCGCGAAACGCTGGTTTTGCATTGAGGAGGTGTCGTGCGGGGGCCTTGTCGTCGATTGGGTGCGTTTCGTTTCGGCTCGGATTCGCCCCCCGATCGGTTCGTCCCACTTTGGAATTGAAACAGATACTGAGTTTGAGCTGGTTGAACGTCCCGCATATTACGACTGCAGCCGGCTTCGGGCGAACCATGTGCGTAGGCAGCTTGAGCTCAAGATCCAGCTCAGTTCGGACAGGATTGGGGTGCCAAGGATGGTTTGATCCACAACGCAACGGAAAGCAATACACTTCAACACAGCATGACGCAGCACAGTGCAGCAAGGCACGCATCAACAGCAATCTGCGCCGAATCGCGCCCCCGATGACTTGCGAGGGGCCCTGGCACCTCGCATTGCGGCTTCCTCGTCAGGCGACGTCATGCAGTTTCAGGATGTTGAGCCAGAGCGTATTCGTCTTGGTTTGTCTTGTCTCGCTTCGATTCGGGTCGGTTCGGCCTTCGTCTCGGTTCGTACCGTTTCGATTCGTCTTGATGCAGTTCCTTGGCGTTTTGGTTCGCTGAGCTTCGGTCCGTCCACTCTTGGTGCGTTTCGCGTCGGTTCGGAGTCGCCCCCTCTTGGTTCGTCCCGTTACGGAACTGAATCGGATCTCGAGTTCGAGCTGGGCGAGCGCCCCGCGCGGTTCGATTGCGACCAGCTCGAGATGTGCGTCCAGGCAGCTCTAACTTAAGATCAAGATCAGTTCGGTAAGGACTATGA